TTGAAAAAATTTAAGTTTTTAGATAAAGCATACATTATGAACTTGTTCCCAGCTTTCCTTTTAATTAAACACAAACCCATACATCTTAGATATATTGAAAAACTTTTATATATATTTTTTTGTTACTAAATTTGACAACACATGATGACATATTTTAACATGCAACTGGTACGATAATTGTACTTGTCAATGGTAAAACAATCAGCTTATGACAGACATACTAATCAATATGATGAAACAAAGACCATCTTCTTACAATAATGGTATTATAACAATTATCCCGACATCAAGCAGGCCCAACAAGGTTTCCAAAAGTTGCATCCACTGAATGTGAACCAAATTTAAAGAATCTAAGCCAGTGAATCTGCCCTTCCTGTGGAGTCTAACCCAGGGTGGGAGCCGATTATGGAGTTCTATCTAAGCCAGTGAATCTTTCCTTCCCTTGGAGTCCAACCCAGGGTGAGAGCCGATCATGGAGTTCTATCTAAGCCAGTGAATCTGCCCTACCTGTGGAGTTCAACCCAGGGTGAGAGCCGATTATGGAGTTCTATCTAAGCCAGTGAATCTGCCCTACCCGTAGAGTCCAACCCAGGGTGAGAGCCGATCATGGAGTTCTATCTAAGCCAGTGAATCTGCCCTTCCCGTGGAGTCTAGCTCAGGGTGGGAGCCGATTATGGAGTTCTATCTACGCCAGTGAATCTGCCCTTCCTATGGAGTCTAACCCAGGGTGGGAGCCGATTATGGAGTTCTATCTAAGCCAGTGAATCTTTCCTTCCCTTGGAGTCCAACCCAGGGTGAGAGCCGATCATGGAGTTCTATCTAAGCCAGTGAATCTGCCCTACCCGTAGAGTTCAACCCAGGGTGGGAGCCGATATGGAGTTCTATCTAAGCCAGTGAATCTGCCCTACCCGTAAAGTCTAACCCAGGGTGGGAGCCGATTATGGAGTTCTATCTAAGCCAGTGAATCTTTCCTTCCCTTGGAGTCCAACCCAGGGTGAGAGCCGATCATGGAGTTCTATCTAAGCCAGTGAATCTGCCCTACCCGTAGAGTTCAACCCAGGGTGGGAGCCGATATGGAGTTCTATCTAAGCCAGTGAATCTGCCCTACCCGTAGAGTCCAACCCAGGGTGAGAGCCGATCAGGGAGTTCTATCTAAGCCAGTGAATCTGCCCTACCCGTAAAGTCTAACCCAGGGTGGGAGCCGATTATGGAGTTCTATCTAAGCCAGTGAATCAGCCCTTCCTATGGAGTCTAACCCACGGTGGGAGCTGATTATGGAGTTCTATCTAAGCCAGTGAATCTGTCCTTCCTATGGAGTCTAACCCAGGGTGGGAGCTGATCATGGAGTTCTATCTAAGCCAGTGAATCAGCCCTTCCTATGGAGTCTAACCCGGAGTGGGAGCCGATTATGGAGTTCTATTTAAGCCAGTGAATCAGCCCTTTCTGTGGAGTCTAGCCCAGGGTGGGAGCCGATCATGGAGTTCTATCTCAGCCTGTGAATCAGCCATTCCTATGGAGTCTAACCCAGGGACTGAGCCGATTATGGAGTTCTATCTAAGCCAGTGAATCAGCCCTTCCTATGGAGTCTAACCCAGGGTGGGAGCCGATCATGGAGTTCTATCTAAGCCAGTGAATCTGTCCTTCCCGTGGAGTCCAACCCAGGGTGAGAGTCGATCATGAAATTCTATCTAAGCCAGTGAATCTGCCCTACCCATAGAGTCTAACCCAGGGTGGGAGCCGATCATGGAGTTCTATCTAAGCCAGTGAATCAGCCCTTCCTGTGGAGTCTAACCCAGGGTGA